AGCATAAGGTCGCGTCCGACTTGAATCTGATAAGTGCCTTGCGTGCGGTACGAATAAGAAGGGGGACGAAATGAAAGTTTATATAATATTGGATATATCCATTATTCTTAGTTTCGGTTGCCACTTATCTCTATCGCATGCAAAGGACTCAAATTCGTGTTGAACCGAGGTCCATATTGTTATCTGTCGGGATTATATTATGTATATTTTTTAAGGAGCTGAAATTTCTAATAAAATATCATTAAAGCATAAGCGAGAATTTTTAATATTTTTTTTTACTAATACATCAAAAGGTATTGTTAATAAACTAACTGCTGATAATGTTATTAATGCAGGAAGGAGATGCTTATGAAAAGGTAAATCAAACTCTTTTTTTTAATTGCCAGTGTTGCGAAAAACAACTACTCCGCGGGCTATATGCCCCGACCGGCATTGAATTATACTCGGAACACCTAGTGCAACAGCTGGGATTATTCGACAGTTTAACCCACCAGGCACAGACCGGTTTCCGACTTATTAGTCCTCATCAGTGTGTCACACGTGAGACAACCGACGAACAATCCAGCCGTTCTACTGCCGTATCCTCACGACAAAGAAGTACATTGTACGCGGAGCGTAAATGGCTCCATCTGTCGCGGTGACTCCCAACTGCGCCATTTGAATGAATCGTTCAATGCTGGTCGGGGCATATAGCCCGCGGAGTAGTTGTTTCTCGCAACACTGGCAATTAAAAAAAATGTGTTTCGCCCTCTGTGGGCGGCAGTCGTGCAACAAAGTACCTGACAATATAGCAGATCGCTTCCTACTGTAGCCATTTCAATGGCGCAGTTGAGAGTCAGCACGACAGATGGAGCCATTTGCGCCCCGCATATAATAAATCAAATTCTGTTTATATATCTTTTCCTTGAAAAAATAAATTAAAAAAATATAAAATGCACAGGGTTAGGTTCCAGTGAACAGGGTTATCAAATATTTTTATTTTTTCAGATTGGTATATTTCCTGATTTATTTGGAATGGTATTTCCTGTTTAAAGAGAATATCGTATGTCCTTTAATCGAATTGAAATTCCTTTATTAAATACGTTAATTTTATTTTGGGATTGTTCACCATAACTGCTACATTTTTTTATGAAGTTATTAGATGCATGATCCGGACGAATCGTCTATCGGTATTTTCTATGATCTTAAGAGAGCATTTAATTGCGTTAATCATGATAATTTACTCAGCAAACTTTATAATTATGACATTAGAGGTGTTTCGCTAGACTGATTAATACGTTTTACGAACTTTCGAAAACAGTATGTCTCTATACAACATATTAACATTGTTTCTAGTGCACTGGAAAGAGTTTCCAAGAGTCAGCATTATATCTGAATGCGCATGCGTATGACTTAATCAAAATAGGGATACTACAGGATTGGCTGGTAAAATACATCCTTTTTAAAGCTCAAATGTAACGATTGTATAATAAGCTTAAATAAAAATAAATTCAGTAGGAAATAAAAAGTGTATCGAAAGTAACGCAGGATTTGAATTGTGGGCTATTTTCATTCCGAATAGTTGGCGGCATTGTGTAGAGTCGCATGTTGTAGCAAACACGTTGCGTTTAGATAAAATGGAGCGCTATACGATGGATGAGCGAGTGGAGATTGTGAAAATTCATTACAAGTACGGAGAGTGTGTAGCTGAGACTGTGCACAAATTAAGTGGAATTTTCGGTAGAAAGAACGCCTCGAATGAAACAACTGTGAACAGATTAGTTCCCGAATTTAAACAAACAAGTTCGGTTGCACACAATAAAACACACGCTGGTCTTGTACTGGCTGTTCAGCCAAAAATATTGCTACGGTGAGTGGTAATATGGCGGAAATTCTCGTAACCTCAGTCCACGTGGGTAACTGCAATTGAAAATTTCAAAAAGCACAGTGCAGCGGATTTAAACAGATGTTACGCATCTGCATCCATTCAAGATTCAGCTCTTATAAACTTTTATAAAACTTTTACTATGTATACCGACGATTTTTCTGTAATTTTTACGGGTAATTCATTGGATAATTTCAAACATGAAATTATAAAACTATAGAAAATATGTGTAGCTGTTTCAATAAAAAATGCATATATTTAAAAACAAACAAAATGCAAATGGTTAGATTTAATACTAGACAGAAAAAATGTGATGATGTTATAGTAAAAGTGACGTAATAGGAATTTATTTCCAGGAAACCGTTAATTGGAAACTGTATTGTTTTTTTTTATAAAAAACGGAGTTTTAGCATTAAAACCATTATTTATATTTCAAATGTGTGTTTATGTTTTTAAAAATAGACACCAATTTTATTCAAACAAAGTCATATGTTTTTTTATACAATTAAATTAATAAGTAACAGCTATATAAAAACAATTTAAGTGACTTTTCGACATTTTAGGAAATTTATTTAAAATGACAATACTTTTTTTTTTAATTTTATATGTATCTTTTTTGGACTGTGATTTCCAATCACCAACTCAACTAATAATAGCCAATCTATATAGCAAATAGATCAATCGCAGTGCCCAGCTTCAAATCATTATCACGAACTCATAGGCGAGAAAAGATAATATCTGTCGGTCTCTATTTTTTCTGATCCCTAAGAAAAAGAGAAATGTACTTATAGAAAAGTCTGCCTTGCTTTTGTTATTATTGAAAAGTGTTTATGTTATTAAGATAAGTTAAATAATTGGTAATAGTATTATAACTTTTATCAGTTTTCGATAGTATATTCGCAAGTTTAAAAGTATAAATTCGGATATTTAAGCATCAGAAATGAAAAATGAAATTCCGTAAGAAATTTTGGAACTCAATTTTAGGTTTTCGCAGATGCATGTCGCACTGAATGATGTCCATAATAAGAAAACAATGTTGATCGTCAATATCCCCAAAACCAAAACGTATACCACCAGATCGTTTATATTTTATAACAGGAGAAAGCTTCCAACCTATGTTGTAGCAATGCGTTCTGTGCGTTAGCAAAATAACGTTCTACTTTGAATTAGAAATATATCCTTACATACCTTAATCTCATTTTAAAACGACGAATGTGTCCTTAATTCGTGTAGGTACTTTATATAATTGGATTGTGATGAATAGTTTTTTGTAAGTAATGATATACAATTGATTTTGCCTGTCCATTATAATTACATAAGAACTAGACATAAGAATGGTGGGAAAGATATCGGCATGCACTACCGTAATTCCATCGTAGTTAAAAACACATTAAATGGTCGTTCTGGCTTATTAACATTATATTCAAATCATGCCCTTATTTGAAAATTATTCGGCGGTAATAGCATTTTAATGATTTTCTTTTATTTGTATACACTATTTCCATTATTCATCGTGTATGGTTATTCGATTGATGAATCCGATATGTTTGTTTTTTATAAGTAAACGTGTAATTTTAGAGATTAATGGTCTTGTGAAAAGTTTGCCACGAACAGCATTAACATGTAATGTTATAAGAAACGGTACATTTTTGTTTCCTTTACGTTTATTATTCAATTTTTTGAGGAGCTATCCAATTTTCTAAAAACTATGTAAATATTCTATTTTAAAAGTACCTATTGGACTAATTTAAATTCAATTTTTTTTTTTAAAAAAATATGGGGCTAGATACCTTTTACTTACATACATTTTTAGTATTGAAGAACTTAATTTAATTTTTTGATAATAAGTTTTCGAATTTTAATTAAAAGCACGGGGGCTAGCATATAATACATGATTTTTAAAACAATGTAAATGTTTAAAATTAGTAACGTATTCAATTTTACATGAAGCACACACAAAACATGTAACACAACGTGTTACAATGTTTTTAAATCACAGTAGCTCGGCATATGCAAACCAGTAGTTTCACCTCATTCACCTTGAACTCATTCAGCTATCTTCACTGCTCTTGGATGGAAGCGCTGATCAGGGGCGTAATACATTTTTTTTTCTTGTGCTGGAAAGTGTATTAAAATACTAAAAATAAAGTTTACTCTCGTGATATTTTCAGATTTTTTTATTTCCTGGACACCCTTTACTTGAAATGTTAAGTTTCACCATGGCAAGCTCATTTTAAATTCAAGCAAAACTTTTTATCAAGTGAGCCTTTTTTCGGTAAAATGTAAAATAAAAAAGTTTTTCATCTTATTTACCCTAACCGCGGACATACTGTATATAAAATTACCTAAAATTTTAATTTAAAATATAATTAATTGGGATTAGGTGACGCTTCAGTTGTGAGGCTTTATATCACAGACGGTAATGGTTGAAGCAACTAGTTAAGTATAAATACAGAGACAATAAATTATCTTACCTTCAGCCTTTATAAATTCGTAAGATATTAGCAATATTAGTCTTCTGTTCAAAAAAAAAATAAGAAAAAATAAAGCTATTAGCCGCCAGAATTTCTTTTTGCTTGGTTTTTCTTCGCTCAGACATGCATAAGCTTAGGAGAATCAAGGATTCAGTTTCAGATAGAGGTCACCAGTATGGCCGAGCAGAGCGCATATGTTTTAAATCCCATAGCTGTTGCCTTCATCTGCCCTTAGGCATAGAATTTAAATGCTTTTTAATAATTTGGTTTTGAAAAACATTTGTCAAGTATTTTAATTTAAATGAGAATTGAATGAAAATTTATTTGTAGTTAGAAGTACTTAATATTAACGGAAGTACGGATTCACATTAATACATTTATTTACTGAATGACTTCCCTTGGACGTTGAGAAAAATGAATAAACACGTGGATACAGAAGAAATTTATATTTGAAATCAGTATACTTCATTGGATATCCTTCATTAAACTTTATGTACAGCCCATTACCTCTATGTACAATAAATTATGCTAGAAAACATTTATTTACAAAAACATGTTACATAATATGTACAGTATTAACAGACCTAAATACTTAACAAGGAAGTCGCATTAATAATTTCTTTAAAAGTCCGGTACCACATTATTTACGTCACTTAGAAATTTCACCTAACAAACACCGTCAACACTATCAAACAAAAGCTATTGACGATCGCGACACTAATTTGACTAGAAGGATTTACGGAATCCTTTGAAGCTTCTAAGTTTTCCCTCGTCACTTCCTCTTCGCACCTGCCTATGGATTCCACCTCTATGTTGGTCATGGGCAGTCCGTTGACCTCGAGTGGTGATATGCAAAAGTTCTTGGATATAAAATCTAAAATGCTACCGTTGGCCAAGGGGCCTTCTAACAGTGAGTGAATATGGCAGTTGCACGGGAAATGGTTTGATATCACAGTTAGTTTCTCCACTTCAATAGTAAGGGTTTCGGCTTTTGGTATTTCCAGGATGTGGTTGCCCTGCATCTTCATGTGTCCTATTCTTTGTTCCTGAGTGATGTTCAAGTACTCTATTGCGTCTATCTTGTTGTTGAGTATGTTAAGTGACTTTATGAAAGTCATGCCGTCGAAAGCAGAGCCTTCGATGATGCCCAAGTCGGACTCTTGGATTGAGAGGACTCCTATGTTAGTAAGGCCTCGAAACGCGCCGATTGTCAAACCAGGGAGGTCCATGAAGGCCAGCTTTATGTAGCCCACGCTTTCCAATCCATTGAAGGCATCTGGTTCCAGCTGTCTCACACCTGGAACAAAGAATGCAAATTAACAATTTTTTCTTATGTCCATTACAGTTTTTTACAAGGCTGAATGAATTATTAGTAGTTTGAAAGGTTTTTGAATCTGAAGGAACATTAATGAAAGATCGGGAGTCAACATAACTAACAGTATATTTTTGTTGTTATTCTCGTCAACAAAACTTTCAAAAATCATAAAAGTGTAGTTGAGGAACCAGAACAGGTTTCCATATGCTCGGGAGGCAATACTATTTAGAAAAAAATGAATAGATCGATCATGAAAATTGCCAGAAAATTAAAATTATCACTTAACGGCTCTATTGCTTGTATATTTATGCATTGGGACATAAGCTAGACAGCTTATGTCCCAACTGCCTTCAATTTTCAATTCGCTAAAGCCGTTACAGTCTATGAATTTTTTTATTTCTGAAAAAATCGATGGAAGAATGGATGGCCATGAAAACTGCCAAAAAATAGAAATGTTCATCTAAAGATGGTACCGTGTGCATTTCAGAAAATCTCAAAAATTAGCTTGACAGGACCTGGATTCACTTTTGTATTCACCAGAGGAGTCTTAGGTAATTTTTCCAGATTTTACCGAAAAAGTTTCTAAAAAGTAGAAGAGGTGCTGGGGCTCTAATCAGGTCGGGACGATTTGTATCTATTTTAGTATTTTGATTGAGCAAATATAAAGAACAAAACGCTATGAGCTAAAGATAAACTAAAGTTTTATTCGACACAATAATCTATTAGATTAGAAACGTTTCAAGATGTCAGATATGAACGATATGAATCAATGTCGTCATCTGTTGAATGGACAAACAATTACTGATATTTTGATAGTGTTGACCATGGAGACCATGGATACTAAAAAAGGAGCACGGGAAAATTGACAAAATTTGTCAATGTAATATTAGAAATTACTTATAGTTTGTTCCGCTAGGGTCGCTAGTGTTCCTTGTACTCCGATATATTTTCATTATTTATGGACTCATTTATCTAATTCAAAGTAGCCTACATTATTTATTTTAAAATATTTCACAAAAACGGCATAATTGATTTTTAATTCAAACTGCCGCATTCTTTATCTCCCCTCCACTATTTCTGTGCATATAGGACATTAGCGCCCTGTAATTTGGTAAGATATTTGTTTATAGTATATGACGGTTTTTAGGTCCGAATTGTTGATACATGCACCGATTGAAGTGAAATTTTACAAGTAATTAGAAAATTGCTAAAAAACAAAAGTTACATAATGCCGATGTGTGCTTTCACCCTAGGGGCGAATGCCATCCCTTCTCGGGGGTGGCAATGAAAGCACCCATTTTAATCGCAAAAACGTTTTTTCCAAAAATTAATATTTTCCGAGTTATTTGCAATTGAAGATGTTGATTTTTCATCTAAAAAGTGCATGTTTTTCAACCATTTTTGATAAATAACTCGAAAACCTTGCGTTTTAACGAAAAACCCATATAAAGCAAAAATAAAGCTTTTGAAATAACGAATCTATTCATTTGTTGATTACCGTAGATGTAATAATATCCGAGATATCACTCTCTAAAGGTGAATGTTTATTTTTCGGAAAGTAAAATCGAACCGTTTACCGTAAAATAATAGAGAAAGCTAATTTTTCGAAGAAAATGAATATAACCTTTTTTAAAGTGCTTAGAAAGACCTTTAAATTGCTTTTTGAAAACATTTTGTAGCTCAAAAACTCGCGGATGGTTAAAATAAAATGGTCACCTCTTTTTTTCCTAGAAAAAATCAATAAAATCTATGGCTGAACCATAAAAAAAGAAACTAAGCGTAATCCATTTAGGTACTAATAATGGGCTGTGCAAGTTTGGCCGGTTTAGAATGCCTAAATTAAAAAAAAATTGAAATAATGAAGCAAAAAAAAAAGCCTTTTTTTTTAAATAACTCAAAAACTAAATAAGATACGTGAAAAATGCAATGGTCTTTAAAAAAAAAAAAAAAAAAGCCTTTTTTTTTAAATAACTCAAAAACTAAATAAGATACGTGAAAAATGCAATGGTCTTTTCTTTCAATTTTTCTGTAGAGCAAAAATTAACTAAGATATTACGTTTTTTAGTTTGCATTTGCCTGTAAGGACCACCTTCTTTGAGCCCTTAAAACCTATAAATCTCGAAATCGAAGAGTTCAAGATCCTTCAACTATAAAGGTTGATTTGTAGCTTTTGCAATTCCCTGCAAATTGCTTTTTATTGGAGCGATGAAAAATATTAAATATTAAAAATGTTATCGTGAAATTTTTTGCTTTATTTTCTGCAATAAGGGTGGTTTTTAAGGGTTGAAACGTTGCAATAAATCATATATTATTTCATAAACAGTAAAAAATATTCAATTCTTCATTATTGCTGCGTCAAAACTTTTCAGAGCCGCGAAAACTAATTTTTGTGTTTTTTTCCTCATTTATGAAGATCCACCCTTTAGGGTGGATTTTAAGGATTGAAATGTAGCTACAAATCAAAAATTATTAATCAAAACATAAAAGAATGCTTATTCTATTGACATAACACTTAAATCTATGGTTTTTACGTTTTTTTGCAAGAAGGGGTAGTTTTCGCCCCTTAAAACCAATAAGCATACATTATGGATATGTAACTTTTGTAAAGGAGGGTGAAATGAGCTTACTCACCAACTTTCGTGAATATCGGTGCGTGTATCAAGAATTCGGAGGTAATACCCTATTTTTACCGTTGTATACTGGACTATTACATGAAGTTCGTGCTCCTTGTGTAGTCTCCATGGTGACGATAGCGACTAAACTACTTTTATCTACTGTGGAAAACGTGGCTATTAAGGTTTTCTAGGTATGCATAAGGAAAGTATAAATAATAGCAAAAACTTTTATTAACAATAACTATGGCTACAGTATTTAACAGTTTTTCATTAAATAAGTGAATAGGGTTTATGATACGTAAGAAAACTAGCGAGCTTTCTCTCGTCTACACTGTAAAAATATCGGTGTGCGTGAAAGCAATAAAGGTTCAGAGTGAATCCAGTGAGTGAAATTATTAAGTATATTTTCACTCAATATTGGGCATTTTGATCATTTTACTCATTCTCATTACTCATTTGTGATTATATTTAAACTAGAACTGAGTAGTTTCACTCAAATATAGGTAGGTACTCCTTAAATTCTTCACGTAAACTCGTATTTGGTGCACTTGTACCTAAATTATCATTACTAAGTAGTGAGTTTAAATGTATATTAATTTGGAGTAATTCGAATGGCGCCGTGAAGATGGCACCACTTACATATTGCTTCTGTAATCTCGACCACAGTTGATAGGGGCCCGTTAGATGCTATAGAAAAGCGTGATCGCCAGGAGAACAGGCCTCAGCTGGCGGGTCTCAGCCAGGACAGGAGGAGGTCCCGCGAAGTGAATTAACTTCAACACTGTCTTAGTTAATCATTTATGAGTGATTTATTTTTGCACTCAATATTTAGTTAATTAAAAACCAAGTCTGAGTAAATAATGACTCAATAATAAATCAAATTTAAATCATATTAGAGAAAAAGTTAACTTTAAATTGGTTTTTATATACTCAGAGTAGAGCACAAAAGTCGCTCAACTGATAGTTAGCAGTAACTCGGATTTGAGTAAAACTCACTCAGTTGTACTCATACTAATAGAGTGAAAATTTCACTCAGTCGGGTGTGGACAGGAATTGAGTAAAATTGAGTGAAATTTGAGTGAAATTTTTTTACAGTGTATCAACGTCCACTTTACGTATTAACTTCAAAAGTGTTTTCAAATTTAAATAAGCCACGTTATTTCATAAATTTTCAATACCCTTGCATGGACAAGCATTTAGTACACACAACTAATACGTTGATGTCTTACTTAACTTGGTATTAATGTCTTACAAACGTAAAAAGAAACTCTCTTAATATTTATCCTTATAAAATATTGAACTGAATATAATATTTACTTTCCAATATCCCATTCTTTATATAGTAGTTACTAAAGAATGTCACGTATCATAAATTCTACGTGGCGCAGCTTGGCGATTTTTTTTGAGATATTAAATTTCTCCATAATGTATTAGGCTGGATATAGGGGCAATTTTTCTAGGTATATGAAAACATATAAAATTGGGTTCAATCCTATGGTGTGGCACTAACTGGATTTATTTGTTTCGATATAATGTTGTCGCTGATATCCCGAAGTACTTTGCTAGTGTAGATACAGCTGTGGACAATAAAATCTTTCAAATCTAAAGGCGATATACTCATACTCATGGATATTTTTTCCCTAATATTAATTATCACCATGTGGTTATTTCTTTTCAACGCTGTCAACAACAAACTATCATTTTTAATAGACTGCCTGTAAGTTACACTGGCAATCCAGTCATTATTATTAAACTTTTTAGATGTTATATTAGACTGAGGATTAATTAATTAAAAGTATAAGTTTCAAAACCATAATTGCGTCTGGTAACATCAAAATATGCAATATTAGGGAAAAGGAACATACAAATGTTGGAATCAGATTAGCGGAGTTAGGCGGAACAACAGTAAAGTACATCTACAGAGTAAGCGTTGCAAACATTATAGTCCATTGCTGTACTGTAAAAAGGTATTTATTTTCACTAACTTAGAAAGAGTTAAAGTTCAATAACATTAATTTAAGCAAAACATATATTTGGACATATCAGTAAAAAATGATGTGAAATATTATGGGTGACCCTATAGACGAAGTCCGGGGAGAAATATAACTGTACACTTTTGGAGATCGATGAATATTGTCCCTAGTCTCTAGAAAGTAATTCTAAAAAGGGGACGACACAGAGTCCCATCGGGAGAAGCTTTTGATTTATGATGACACACCGTTATTGAGAAAAAATGTAAAACATTTGTTGTTGCAAACTGTCGCTGATCCAGCTGAAACTTAACCGGTGTGGAAACAGCAGCCAAAGATAGCGGCCAATTAAGCCGATTTCTCCTGGACGATATCACTTACAAAAAATAATTGCACTTTTATAAGTGTTTATAAGTGTGTTTGTCTTATGACAAATATTCCAATAATTAAAAATAAATTAATCAGTTACAATAATAAATAAACCTATAAAACTAAATAAAAAAAAATGGAAATCAAAGAATCCCAAGGTGCTTAAAATAGAGTTATTAAACATCTCTTAAATATAAAAAAAATCGACTACCGAAACATATTTACTCGCAAATTATTTGGAGGGTTACAAATATTAAATTAAATAGTCACTAAATTGAACTAGATCCAGACACACGGCATGGGGCGTAAAATAGAGTAAGGCAAAACGAATGACGAAATAGATCCACTCGCAAATTATTTGAAGGGTTACAAACTTCCCTTAAACGTTATATTAAATAACCACTAAATGGACCTAGAATAAATGTGGAATTTATAAAATGAAGTAGGTCTATATTAAAATGACTGCCAAAACAGAGAGTAAGTTTGTACTAAAACCACTGCCGAAACAGATTTACTCGCAAATTGGATGGAGGGTTCCAAACATCCCCTAAATATTACATTGTCATTGTCACTAAACATACATAGATCCAGACATGAGACATTATGTATACAATAGAGTAAGTCTGTACAAAAACGACTGCCGAAACAGATTTACTCGCAAATTGGATGGAGTGTTATAAACAACCAGGAAAGTTATTGGCTGAAAATGTTTTTATTAAAATAAATCTGAGGGAAATCTTTCTTCTGATGTTCTGTTTCACGTTAAGGCTTAATAACAAGCATATATTCAACATTTTTGCTGTCTTATTTAAACATTTTTTAAATTATTTTTTCAGGAGGATTTCTGCAAGAAGATATACAGACAGGAGAAGCAGCATTCAAAGATGTGTGTTCCTAGTACCTAGACGTTAAATAAATCGTCTGAGGCTGGGAGTATATTTTTGTTGTTGCTTCGATCAACGTGGCTAAAAGGAAACGCAGCGCACAAATTCGTATGAAGAAACCAATTTCATTTTTTCCCTAGCGAAAATGTATTTTTGTCCCTCTTTTGTTGACAAGAAAAGTCCCATTATTTTAGTCCAAAGAATTTGTATGTGCTTGACCTACTAATTTGTAACACCCTGTAAATTAAAATTATTCTGTTATGTGTCAAAATATCAAAATGTAGTTAAAAATAGTATATTGTACAATAAGTGCGGTAACACGAGAGCGGAATTGGGCAACTCATCAGTTCAAGTGAACAATAGATAACCACACGAATTGCACATACTATTTTTTATTATGAATGCAGTAAAATCTTAGAGTTCAGGGGCGAAGGCCCGGTGGGATCCACAGATTTTCATTCAGTTTAGGTTGACATAAATAACTATTAACTGTCATTTAAATGTCACTTTTTAAAAATAATATTTTCGAGTGTGTATTTAAATGATTACCGCAAATAAATAGGGTAGGCAAACAGCTATTTACCGACTTAAAAAAACAAGCGAAAAGATAGGACTTATCCCTCATGAGTAATACAAATGCTTTAATACATGCAAAAAGAGAAATTCTTAAATCAAGTGTATTTATATACAGGGTGTCCCAGTACTTGATACAAAAAATTCGAGTATATTATATGTATATGATGAGTTCAAAGTAATATCAGTTCTTCATATAAAATTTTTCCATACGGTCCTTCGTTAACAAGTTACGGGCCCTCAAAGTTGAAAATTAAAATCTTATTTTTATTTACAGTCTCTAAACTATTAACTTCAGCATAATGCAAATTTGGTGATCGATAACACATGCATACAGCTTGTTTTTGATGCAGTAAGTGAAACTTCATTATGCCCAGAACGTCAGGGACGGACTATGCCCAATGGTTAACAACCCCGAATTTTTGCATAGATGACGATCGCAATCTGCCTGTATCAAAAATAAGTTCTCTGAAGAATTTGCCAACTCGGTAAAATGAACAGTTTAGGAAATATTTGTGATTTTATGTCACAGTGCACTCGAGCGGCGCCTCCACCATTTTTAATTGAACTTAATTACTATGTTACAAGCGTACATATTTTTAAAACAAGAGCATAGAAAATATTACTGTGTCCTAATGTAATTGTCACTAACAAAATTTGATAAATACATTTTACACTTAACACAAAATAGAAAAACAAAACAAGGATATCTATGTTAAAGTAAGTTAAAAAAATAATTTTAAAGAAGGAAGACTATCAAAATACATTTTCAATATGGGCACTTTTCACCTCCACATACTTCCTAAATCTACGAATGTTATTTGTTTGTACACGAAAAAGCATCTCTGGAGTAGGTCTAATATTATTACAATGGAAATTAATTCTTTGTAGCAATTCATCCCTTGTATGTACTGGAGTTGCGTACGTAAGAAGTCCATCGGGTTAAAGTCTGGAGAACGTAGTGGCCATGGAATTGCGCCTCCTCTCTCAATTCATTTATTATTAAACACAATGGATAAATAATTTCATATATCGAGATTGAAATGGGGAGGAGCCCCATTGTGCATGAACCAAACGTTTCTTCGGGTATATAACGGAACATCGTCTAATAGTGACTGTAAATTATTTTGCAAAAACTCCAAATTTCGATGTCCATACAGATGTTTCTCAAAAACGTATGGACTTATTAAATTATTACCACAGAAATGCATTTTCATGTACAAACAAATAACATTCGTAGTCTTAGGAAGTATGTAGAGGTGGAAGGTGCCCATATTGAAAATGAATGTTGACAGTTTTCTTTCTTTTAAATTATTTTTTAACTTATTTTTATGTGTAAAGTGAGTTTGTCAAATTTTGTTGGTGAAAATTACATTAGCACACAGTAAGATTTTCTAGACTCTAATATGTACGCTTCTAACATAATAATAAAGTGCAATTAAAAATTAAAAACAAAAAATGCCGGAGGCGGCGCTCGAGTGCACTGTGACATAAAATCACAAATATTTTCTAAACTGTTAATTTTACCGAGTTGAATCAAAAGGGTATTATCGTTGGCAAATTCTTCAGGGAACTTATTTTTGATACATGCAGATTGCGATCGTCATCTATGCAAAAATTCTGGGTTGTTAAACATTGGGCATACTCCGTCTCTGGCGTTCTGGGAATAATGAAGTTTCACTTATTACATCAAAAACAAGCTGTACGCATGTGGTATCGATCACCAAATTTGCATTATGCTGAAGTTAATAGTTTAGAGACTGTAAATAAAAATAAAATTTTAATTTTCAACTTTGAGGCCCGTAACTTGTTAACGAAGGCCCGATGGAAAAAATTATATGAAGAACTGATATTATTTTGATCTCATATATCTGTACTCGAATTTATTGTATCAAGTACCCGGACACCCTGTATACTCCAAAGAAATATATTCTTAATACTAAATAAAACTTCATCACTTAAATGAACGTTTAAGAATTTCTTTTTTTGCGTATAGGTACCACAATTTTTCCACCTTATTAGATTTAAAGCACGTTTGCCTTGCAATAATTTGTTACCAGACAAAGCCATACATACCCGAGGGAAAGCTGAGCCGCTCCACATTGGTGAGTCCGCTGAAAGCGTGGCTCTCGATTTTGTGTATCGGGTTGTTCGTTAAAACTAACAGCTTCAGGTTCGACGTCCCCGCAAAGGCGTACCCCTCCACCTTCCTGATCTTGTTGTGACTGAGGTAGATCGAGGTGATATTCTGCAGGCCCGCGAAAGCGAACTGCGCCACCGTCGCTAGGGGCGTCTGCTGGATGGAGAGCTCTTTGAGCCTGGGCAGGCCCCTAAACGCGAACGGTTTGATAATGGATATGTTATTCCCGTCGAGGGAGAGCTTCCGCAGGTATCGGAGGCCGGCGAAAGAGTCGCTCTTGATGATGGGGAAGTGGTTGCGGGTGAGCGACAGGTGTTCGACGGTGGGTGGCAGCAGCTTCTTGGGGATCTCCCTCAAGCCCCCCGAATTGCACAGCACCTGGAACAAAGAAAAATGTCCCGTAAGTCAATGGAAGGCAATAGTCCGCTAAGCAAAAGTAAGCAATTATTTGATTACGCTATGAAGTGTACATAATTTTTAGAGGAGCGTTTTTAAGGTAAAAATAAACAAAATATACAGAGTGTCGCCGAAAGATCTGTACAGAATTCTACCACAAATTCTCGAGATGAAAATAGATCGATTTGCCTTATTTTACCTTAGTACATAACTTGATAATTATGGAAATACAGGCGTCAAAGTTCCAGTTTTCCAGTTTTCTTCACTATTTACTGACAACGTGACAACGTATAAAACTTGGTATACAAGAGTTTTTCAGGGTGAAAAATTCAAATTTTAAATATAGTGTAGAGGGTGCCACAAACAGCATTATAGAACATTTGCAAACAGTGCTAACTTTTGTACATGTGCATGATTTTGGAATGGAAATATTTCTTCGTCTACGTGTTGCGTTTAGGAAAGGTATACCACGTTAATGTCGCTAGAAGCAATAGTCCAGGCTGTATCATCGCTCCCGCTAGGAACATGATTCTCATTCGATTTTTTTTCATAATCTTACTAAAAAAA